ATCCTTCCTTGTCCTAACGTTAAACTCGGGCCTGTCCCCGTACAGGGGGATTTTCGACGAAAGACTAGAAATACCCCACACATGTCCTAAAGATGTCCCAAAATACCCCCCAAATAGGCTCCAGACTATTTTTTGACTACTTCTGACAATTCCCCCTGTAGAGGGACAGGCCCGACTTAGTCCTAACGCTGCTCAGGCCCGTCCTCCCCCTGCACCCCCCGCGCCGCCCCGCCCAGACTGCGCGCGCACTGGGGCCCGGGTGCCAGGCGGCCGGCGCCGCCCTCGGGGGCGGGGGGGGGGGCCGCGGAGCACTGGGGCCGAGGGATGCTGGGGGGGGGGAGGGGGGGAGGAGGAGGAGGAGGAGGAGGGGGGGGGGGGGAGGAGGAGGAGGAGGGAGGAGGAGGAGGAGGAGGAGGAGGAGGAGGAGGAGGAGGAGGAGGAGGAGGAGGAGGAGGAGGAGGAGGAGGAGGAGGAGGAGGAGGAGGAGGAGGAGGAGAGAGGAAGAGGAGGAGGAGGAGGAGGAGGAGGAGGGGAGGAGGAGGAGGAGGAGGAGGAGGAGGAGGAGGAGGAGGAAGAAGAGGATGGGGAGGAGGAGCAGGAGGGAGGCAAGGCAGGAGCCGTGAGAGTCCCGCGCAGCCGAGGGGGCAGTGAGGCGGCAGTGGCCACACCTGCCCGCCGTGTAGAGTGAGCCAAGAGGGCCAGCCAGAGGGCGAGGAAGGGAAGGGCTCGAGCGTTGATGCCCTGTGGTGCTTCCAGCGCCCTGGGCCTCTGGGGGCCTTCGCCTGTCTCTGGAGATCTCCAGAGGAGGGGAGACGAGAAGGACGGTCATAGATCACACCATAAAAATATGCAACGCCCTCTGCAGCCCGTGCCAAGGATAGGAGATCGTACGATCATCCAACGTGCCCCTGTGGCACGAAGTGGGGTGTCCCCGGGTCCCTTGCTCAACCCCTGAGCCTCCGTCTTCGGCCCCGAGAATTCTTTGAAAAGCCCCGGCCCCAAATGCGCAAATCTCCTGGGGCTTGGCGCGTGCTCTCTGGGCTCACCGGTCTGTTCCCGCATGACTCTTTCGGAGCCAAGAAGGGCCCAGAGACCTCCGCAAGCCCGCCCAGACAGTCCCATGATTCTCCGAGTCGCTACACGATCGGTCCAAGACGCTCAGTGTGGCTCCAAAGATGGCCCAAGAAGCCTTCGAGACGCCCCAAGAGAACTCCAAGAGCCTTCCCAAGAGGGTCCCGAGAAGCCAGAATCATTGTGGCCCCATAGGGAGCTCCGTCGAAGGCCCCAGTGGCAGAGTCCGCACCGGACCCGTTTCGGCACACTCCTCACACGTTTCGGGCCCCATCGGGAGCTCCACCGAAGGCTCCAGAGGCAGCTCCCGCATGGCACCACCGCACCTGTTTCGGCACACCCCTCACACGTTTCGGGCTCCAAAGGGAGATCTACCGAAGGCCCCAGAAGCAGCGCCCGCATGGCACCACCGCACCCGTTGCGGCACACCCCTCACGCGTTTCGGGCTCCATAGGGAGCTCCACCGAAGGCCCTAGTGGCAACGCCCGCATGGCATCACCGCGCCAGTTTCGGCACACCCCTCACACGTTTCGGGCCCCATAAGGAACTGCACCTATGGCCCCAGAAGCAGCGCCCGCATGGCACCGCAGCGCACGTTTCGGCATACCCCTCACACTCCTCCTCCTCCTCCTCCTCCTTCTCCTCCTCCTCCTCCTCCTCCTCCTCCTGATCTTCCCCGCCATCCTCCTCCACGTGTTTCTCGAAGGGTTTCCACAACGGCTGGGGAAACACATGGTCCTACAGCTTGGCCGAGCTCGTGTCACAACGCTCGGCCATATGGGCGATTCCAAAAGGCAGGGGGCGGCGGTAACTCGCCGTAGGCGTCTTCGATCCGCCGCCCCCTGTTGATTCATCACAGGGGTGCCTAGCGTGCTAGATCCTACGGCTTGGTTTGGGTACTTTTCCCAAAAAACTCCCCCTGGGGCTTCGGTCCATGCCGCCGGCCACCCAGACGGCCCCGCCGTTGAGCAACCAACGTCTCCAAGACGGCCTCGATGGCCTCCAAGACGGTCAAGATGACCCAAGAAGGCCTCCAAGTTCGCCCAAGATGGTCTCCAAGACGGCCCACGAATGTCCCCGATGCCTTCAAGTCCGCCCAAGAAGCCCTCCAGACGGCCCAAGATGGCTCCAAGAGGCCTCCAAGACGGCCCAAGTATCCTCCAAGAGGTCCTCCAAGAGGGCCCGAAGAGGCGAACATTTCTTCATGGCTCATAAAACAGATTTTGGCATTTGCTTCTTTTCGGCCTTGCGGCAGCCCAAGACGCCCAAGAGGCACCCAAGATCGCCCCAAGATCTCCCAAGAAGTCGCCAAGATGATCTGATGATGGCCCAAGAAGCCTCCAAGACGGCCCAAGAGGCCTCCAAGAGGTTCCCAGGAGGGCCCGAAGAGGCCAAAATCATGGGTTTTCTGAAAGTTTTGAAAAGGGTTCTGGCTTTTGCCTTTTTTTGGCCTTCCGACGGCCCAAAAGGCCTCCAAGACACCCAAGATGGCCGTCAAGACGGCCCTGAAGCGCCCCAAGAGGGCCCCAAGACTGCCCAAAGAGGCTCCGAACGTCAGACGGGCTATGAACGCCATAAGACGGCCAAAGAGCCCTCCAAGGAGCCCCCAAAGGCCCCCAAGAGGCCCCAAGTGGCCCCAAGGGTGGCCCCAGAGGCTCCCAAGAGGTCTCCTCGTCCTTCTTCTCATCCTCCTTTTTCCTCCCTCTCCTCATCCTCCTCTTCATTCCCCTCGTGCTCCCCGAAGGGCTTCAACAACGGCTGGGGGAACGCATGGGCCAATGGCCGAACTTTGCCCAAACGTTTGGCCGCACAGGCGTATCCTGAAAGGGGGGCGGTAATTCGCCGTAGGCGTCTTCGATAATGTTGCGGGCGCATCTTCGAGTCCGCATATGCGTTACGAGGCACCCTCCTTGTGCCCCGGCCTCCTCCTCTGCTAGTCTTCGGGAGGCATGCTCGTCGCCACGGCTGGACGCGGCTCGGAAAGCAGGCCAGGCTGGACCCATTCAGGGGTCAGGGGGCTAATTCTGAGAGGATTTTGGCCGGAGGACGCCAGCTCTGCATGACAAGCAGTGGACACATCGGGGCCAGAAGACTTCCTGGAGGTTCCTGCGGAAGTGCGATCCCCCCAGCGTGCGCGGCGGCAGCGAGTCGGCAACGTGGCGAAACCTCGCTGGACCCACTGAGCGCACGAGGCGGGAGGAGGTAACGGGCGGCAGCACGGCGAAACCTCGCCAGACCCACTAAGCGCACGAGGCGGCAGTGAGGCGGCACGGGGCGGCAGCGAGGCGGTGCCGCGCCGCATCCACCCAGCGCGCGAGGCGGCAACGCGGCGGCAACGGGCGGCCTCGCGTCGGAGTCTCGCCGGGCCCAAGCGGCTCATCGGGGGGAGCGGTGAGAGTCTCTCAGTGCCAGCGCTGGTTGGGGGAACAATTGGTGGCCAAGGATGGGCCAAGCCGCTTCGAACCTGCACCTCTGCTGCTGCAGCGGGAGCAGCTGGCCCTCGCCACAACTTCTTCCCTGCCCTGCCAGCTGCACGACGAGTTGGCGTGGTTCGGACCTTGGTAACCTCAAGCTCATCTCCACGAAACCATGTGCCTGAGCTGCGGCCTGCTCGAGCGTTGTTACTGCGAAGCGACATGTACATACGAACTCGGTGCTAATGCATTAGATCCCATCCGAAGTCGAAGAACGATCACCCAATTCAATGGACAATCCCTTCTTTTGAATATGTTGAATTATATGTTGTTGCTGCCACGGCAATTTTGAGCGGTTCCACCTGCAATGCTCGCTAATCGTGCTCAACCAAATGGCAATCCAAACGAGCTTTTTGTTTCACAATCCAAACGCTGTTCGAAACAACATACTTTCCCTGTGCAATGCCTCCCCAAAGGCTGCGAACTCTCGGTGTGATCAAACATAATATTTGCTACAACGCTTTGTCCCACGACCTCAACATCGAGTCCGCGAGCGAGAATACATGATGCTCCACGTATCGGATACTCATTGAAGACAAGATGTCTTCTAGAACACGTCGCAACACATTCTCACACGGGCATGCTCGACACGGACTGGAAAGAACTCAGAGGATGGCGCCAGAACGTGGACTCGAACTGCTAAGTCCTTCTGCCAACGACTTCCCCCCAGCAACGCGGGCGATGCGCGAGGTCTCTGGCGATTTTGGTCCCCAGAGGCCACTGGGGACCCCTGAAAGCCCCCGGAGGCCCAGCAGGCCAGACAGTCTTGCTCCTGGAGCTTCGATCGACGCCGACGAAGACATACGGCGCTGGCATTGGAACCCATAGATACGGAGCCCATGATACGAAAACACGACATGCGAAAAGGAGCCCATTGGTGAGGGACATACGAAAATGAACCCATGGAACCCATGGATAAGGAACCCATTGGTGACGACATGCGAATACATACGACGAACACATACGAGCCCTTAGATAAGGCACCCATGGTCTGGAAGACGGTGATCTCCAATCGCGGACTGACCATGAATATCACTACCACCCTCCTCAGATAAGGAACCCTCCGGTGTCTGCAACCTCCTGGGTGCGTTCCTTGACGAAGGCCCATACCGTATTGAATGGGTGTTGGGATTGTCGCCGATCCTGGACAACTTCCTGCCGTGGGCTGTCGCCGAATTCGCTGGACGGTCTCGGCTAGCCTCGATAGAGACGCCACATGCCCCAAGCTGCTTCCGACTTCGTCTGCTCCGGCTATCCCCAAGCGAAATCTGGCCGTGGGTCCCAGACCTCCAATGTCTTGGAAACTGGAAACACGTACATGCTTTTCCCAACCATCCTGTGGTGTTGGGTCCTCGTTTTGATGAGACAACGCCCCGCGTCACCTCCTCACTCCTCCTCCCCTTCCTCCTCCTCCTCCTCCTCCTCCTCCTCTTCCTCCTCCTCATCGTCACCATCAGCATCCTCCCACCCATTTTGGCACACCCCTCACACGGCTCGAGGCCCCACAGGGAGCTCCACCGAAGGCCTCAGTGGCACAGGCCGCATGCGGGGACAGCACCCATTTTGGCACACCCCTCACACGGTTCGTGGCCTCACAGGGAGCTCCACCGAAGGCCCCAGTGGCACAGGCCGCATGCGAAACTGTGCCCATTGTGGCACACCCCTCACGCGGTTCGTGGCCCCACAGGGAGTTCCAACGAAGGCCCCAGTGGCACAGGCCGCAAGGAGCTCCACCGAAAGCCCCAACGGCACAGGCCGCATGCGGGGACCGCCACCCATTTTGGCACACTCCTCACGCGGTTCGTGGCCCCGCAGGGAGCTCCACCGAAGGCCCCAGTGGCACAGGCCGCATGCGGGGACCGCCACACTGTTTGCACATCTTTCACACGATTCGTGGCCCCACAGGGAGCTCCACCGAAGGCCCCAGTGGCATAGGGGCATGCGGGGAGCGCACCCATTTTGGCACACCCCTCACACGGTTCGTGACCCCACAGGGAGGTCCACCGAAGGCCCCAATGGCACAGGCCGCATGCGGGGACCGCCACCGCTTTGGCACACCCCTCACGCGATTCGTGGCCCCACAGGGAGCTCCACCGAAGGCTCCAGTGGCACAGGCCGCACGCAGGGACCGCCGCCCATTTTGGCACACCCCTCACACGGTTCGTGGCCCCATCGGGTGCTCCACCGAAGGCCCCAGCGGCACAGGCCGCATGCGGGGACCGCCACCGCTTTGGCACACCCCTCACACGGTTCGTGGCCCCATCGGGAGCTCCACCGAAGGCCTCAGTTGCACAGGCCGCATGCGGGGACCGCCACCCATTTTGGCACACCCCTCACACGGTTCGTGGCCTCACAGGGAGCTCCACCGAAGGCTCCAATGGCACAGGCCGCATGCGAAACCGCGCCCATTGTGGCACACCCCTCACGCGGTTCGTGGCCCCACAGGGAGTTCCGACGAAGGCCCCAGTGGCACAGGCCGCAGGGAGCTCCACCGAAAGCCCCAACGGCACAGGCCGCATGCGGGGACCGCCACCCATTTTGGCACACCCCTCACGCGGTTCGTGGCCCCACAGGGAGCTCCACCGAAGGCCCCAGTGGCACAGGCCGCACGCGGGGACCGCCGCCCATTTTGGCACACCCCTCACACGGTTCGTGGCCCCATCGGGAGCTCCACCAAAGGCCCCAGCGGCACAGGCCGCATGCGGGGACCGCCACCGCTTTGGCACACCGCTCACACGGTTCGTGGCCCCATCGGGCGCTTCACCAAAGGCTCCAGCGGCACAGGCCGCATGCGGGGACCGCCACCCATGTGAGCACACCCCTCACACGGTTCGTGGCCCCACAGGGAGCTCCACCGAAGGCCCCAGTGGCACAGGCCGCATGCGGGGACCGCCACCCATGTGAGCACACCCCTCACACGGTTCGTGGCCCCACAGGGAGCTCCACCGAAGGCCCCAGTGGCACAGGCCGCATGCGGGGACCGCCACCCATGTGAGCACACCCCTCACACGGTTCGTGGCCCCACAGGGAGCTCCACCGAAGGCCCCAGTGGCACAGGCCGCATGCGGGGACCGCCACCCATGTGAGCACACCCCTCACACGGTTCGTGGCCCCACAGGGAGCTCCTCCGAAGGCCCCAGTGGCACAGGCTGCATGCGGGGACTGCTAACCATTTTGGCACACCCCTTACGCGGCATGTGGCCCCACAGGGAGCTCCACCGAAAGCGGAGGGCTTTCGCCGATTGGGCTTGTCCCTGCTCCGTCTCTCCTTTTAGGGGTGGGCGGGACGCGTCGAAACTCCCAATCACATGCGCTCTGTGTCCTGACGAACTGGCGGCAGACCTGGCTCGCATGTTCGCGAGATCGAAACCAGAACGCACAATTGCGACGCGACGGCATGCAGTGCCACGCGCCACGGCACCACTGCAACACTCCACCTACGACACGGGGCCTCGAGCAACAGCGAAGAGATCCAACTGTTCGGGGCCAGACCGTCCAACGAAGCATCGGGCAGCCCGGCCCGGTGCTGCCAAGAGCGGGTCCCACTCGGCAAGCCGCGAGAGAGACTGAGGCACGCACACCAGCTCGGGACTCCCGCACTCGCGGGCGCGCTCACAATCCCAAGTGTTTTGAGACGGCATCGAATTAGACGCAGAGCCGAGCTCCTGGTGCGCGTTCGAGGGTCAATGATTATTAGGTCACCCAAATCAGCACGGCTGACCGTACCTCTCGCCGCAGCAGCCTTCGTGCACGACTGGCAACAAGACGCTAGTGTCGAAACCCAGCGCCTCCGCCTGGTTCACCAGCATGTCCACGGTGCTGTTCGGCGCCAGTGGCTCCCGGGTGAGCAGAAAGACGCCCTCTCCGTTGCCATTGGGGTTCAGACCAGTCCCGGGAGTGAGACAGCCATCCGCTCCCTGCTTCGTGGGCGGTCCGCCAGAGACGATGGCCCATTCATACGGCTGCTCGCTGATTGCCACGACCCAATAAGGACCTCGGAGAAAGACTGGCAAGAATGGTGGCCCGACGAGGAGCTTTGAGGGCTGGTTGAGGTCAACGATAGACGCCCTCAGTGGGAACTCGTCAGACTCAGGCCCTGAAGTGGAGCCCTCTCTGGCATAGTTGTCGACAATCAACTCCGCCTGTGCTTGTGAGAACATTCCAGGCGTCGTCTCCGTGTAGTTGGCTCGCACGCAAAAAAATCGCTCCACCGGCAGGTACGACACTTCCGACTGCATCTGGACATACCACGGCGCCGATATGTAGTCCGATATGTTGAAGTTCCCGACCGAATCAAACCCTGGGGGTGGGCACACCTCTCGATTCTGGCTGACTCTGCTCGCCGCCTGCAGGAGGCTGCTAACCTCCCGCTCGTCCTCGCAAGCGTCTTGCGGCTGGGAGCTCTCCGCTCGCACGATAGCTGCCACGAAGAGAGACACAATTACGACGCGGCGCACCGTGGTCATGAGAACCTGGCGGGGCGATACGCCAATAACTGACACGATAACCCGCGCAACTGCTGACAAAGGTGCCCGAGAGACAGGGTGAGTCGAGCGTGCTTGAGCCAGACAAGTGGAGCGCGACTCGACCCGACAAGCCCCCTTGCCCTGGGCTGTCGCAGACGCCGCCTGCCCCGACATGCTCCCTGCTCCAGGCAGAGGCCGCTTTCGCCTAGCCAGACCATCTCTTGACCCTGGCTGCTTGCCTCTGCGGCCTGCCCCGGTGAACCCCTCGCCCTGGGGCTGTCGCCGATTTCGCTTGCCCCCGCAGGTCGTGACTCGCCCTCAGAAGTCGTCTGGCCACGTGTCTGGCTTGTGGAACGGCAGCCGACTGCGTTTCGTTGTTGCCGATTTCAAGTGCTCTGCTTCGCTCCCAGATGCCCTTCGCTCTGGGATGAGGCTGCCTTCGAATCCTCTTGGCCAATCCCTGGCTCTCGACCGTCGCAAGTCTCGCTGGGCCTGACAGGCTCCTTGAAGTGGCCCCGACAAGCCCCTTGGCTGGGGATGAGGCTGACTTCGCTTCCCCCAAGTACCCCCTTTGCCCTGGGCTGTCGCCGATGTCGCCCCCACTGAAACAATCCTGGGCTGTCGCCGACGTCGTTCCCCCTGACCAGCCCAATCCTCCTCCTCCTTCTCCTCCTCCTCCGCCTCCTCCTCCTCCTCCGCCTCCTCCTCCTCCTCCTCCTCCTCCGCCTCGGCCTCCTCCTCCTCCTCCTCCGCCGTCTTGCCGCACTGCGGTGAGATGCCCGCAGACCCTCCGTGATCCGTGCCCGACATACCCCGAAGCCGCGCGCGCTCCCACAGCGCCCTCGCGCGCTCCGGGGGCTCCCCGCGCGACCTCTCCGGAGGCCTTGGGAGCGTGGCCATCGCTCAGACGTCCATTCCCTGTGTCTTTTTCGGTTTCGTGCGTGGTTTTTCTCGCCAGATGATCAAGGGTGCTCCTCGATGGCCCTCGCCGAAGGAAACATGCACACGTCCGAGCGATGCCAAGCGGGAGCGTGGCCGTGGTCCTCAATCTCCAATCTGCTCCACGAGGGCCACAGCGGACCGTCCTGGGCGTTCCTGGCAGCCTCTTTGGCCGTCCTGGAGGCCCCGGGGACTGGCCCAAGCTGCCTAAATCATTGAGACACGGATTCAACATGCTATTACTGTTCTTGACGTTTCTGGTCTTGAGCGTCCAAGGCGGCCCCCACGATCGCCCCAAGCCAGTCCCCAAGGGGGGCCCGAGAGGCCCCCGAGACCTTCCAAGTGACCCCAAGAGGTCTCTCAGTGGGGCCGGCGACCACCAAATCCGCCGCCCTGTGCTTGCCACAAGGGTGCTTGGCGTGCCAGGCTTGAGAGCTCTTTGTTTCCTTTTCGGAAAGTGCAGCCCGTGAGCTTTTCCGTAGGTGTCCAAGAGGGACTTGTTGGCCACAGGTGGCCTCCATGGTACTTTCAAGAAGGCCGAAGATGCACCCAAAACGGCCGAGAGAGCTCCAAGAGGACCCTCAGGGGGGCCACACGAAGCCACTGTCGTACATGTTCTACATGTTCTTGAATGTTTTCGCGTTCTCGCCTGTTCGAGCTTGGCAATCGAAAGCGACCCAAGATACCGCCACTATAGCCCCTCAGAAAGCCAAGGCAGCCCAAAAAGGCCGCAAAACTGCCCAAGCGAACCGCAAGACTGCCCCAAATGTTCCAAAGAGGGCCCCCCGGAGGCCCCCAAGACTGCCTCTGAGGGCGCCAAGCGGCCCAAGAGCGCCCCGAGCGGGCCGTGAGAACCCCCCGCGGGCAGGCCCCCCAAACCAGGAAAGCACCCCAAGACAGACGGCCCCAGAGAGTCCCTCCCCAGTCTTCCCCCCAACGGTTTCTGCAACGGCTGGGAAAGCATGTAATCCACTAGCGTGGCCGCGCTTTCGCACGAGATTTCATGACACCTGCGTTTCCAAAAGGTAGGGGGCGCCAGTGACTCGCCGCAGACATTTTCAACAATTTGAAAACGTTTCTTGTGAGCTGACATCGTCCCGACCCGCGGCGCGCGAGGATACGGGGCGACCCGTTGCGCCCGCTGCTTCCGTTTGTGCAGATTTCTGGGCATTTCGGCGCCGAGTAGCCCTGAACATGTCGCACGGGATGCCCTCGCAAAATCGGATTGCGACCCCCCCATCCAAGGAGGCCTTGTTGGGAGGAGGGTTGCGTGGAAGAAGAAAGATGCGGGGCGGAGGAGGGGGGGCAAGGGCGCAACGTATGCGCGTCTATGTATGCAGGCACATGAAGATGCTTATACTTATGCATGGTTCATGCACATACATATACACATACTTACACGTGCATACACATATCCATATACGTGACCATCAACATATACATGGCCATCTACATATACATACACTTTGGTGCTTAATGCTTATACATATACATGTATATGTTCATACACAGGCATGCATGCATGCATGCAGGTATGTATGTATGTATGTATGTATGTATGTATGTATGTATGTATGTATGTATAAGTAAATATAAGCGCACACGGACACACATACACTAGAACCACGCTCGCGCTACGCGCGCGTAGGTTCCAACCACAGCGGCTGCCTTCGCAACCACCGCCGCTCTCGCTACCGCTACCGAAGCGGTGACCCCCATGGCCACGACGACAATTACCAACGCTTCCATCGCCATGATCCGTGTGACGAGCCTCGCGGGTCAATCTGGGGGGGGGGGGGACGATTCCGACTACAGCTGCTGCCAGCGTCACGCGTACACATGCGTGTAGCGACTGGCCGCTCGTTTTGGGCTGGCCCCGAAGGTCGCCTGCCCCAGCGAACTCTTTGAGGAATTTGTTGGGTCGTTTCTGACTGGCCTGTCGGGGCCAGCCCTTGATAGTCTTGCCCTGGGTTGGTCGCCGATTTCGTTCGCTCTTTCTATCCCCGACTAGTCCCCTTCGCTGGGTTGTCGGACCTCGCCTGCCTCGGAAACTGTTGCCCTTGGGTGCCGTCGGTTTGGCCTGCTGAGTCTGGGCTCGCGTCGCACGCCTTGGGCTGTCGCCGACTGCATCTACCCTGACCAGCCCCCTTGCCCTGGGTTGTCTCAAGTTCCGCTTGTCATGCCATCGGCTGCGATCAGCTCCCCCGACAGTTCAACAAGCATATCAAGATGATACGTGATCTAGAAGTTGCTTGCAAGGCACGAAGAACCGAAATAAGGTCTGCCAGTGTTTCGCCCTCTGAACGGTTGGAGGCCGCCCTTGCGCGCGTCGTGGGCGTCCCGTGCACAATGTGGGTCTGCCAGGATTTCGTCTGGCGCGCGGTTGGTAGCCGCCCGTGGGCGCCTCGTGGGCGCCCGTGGGCGCCAGTGGCCGGCTGCGGGCGCCTCGTGCCCGCTCGTGGCGTCGCGTGGGCGCCACATAGCTTCCACCACATATACTGCATCGCGTAGCCTGCGCACCATAACTTACAGCACATTGCCTTTACCACGTAGATGGCATCGCGTAGACTTGACATTGCTGCGGCCGCGCCAGCGCGCGCAGGCTCGCGGGCAGACCGGCCAACTAGTCTGGCGCGATTACCGCGGCCGCGGTGGCGTTGACAACGGGGGGCTTCCCAGCGCGTCTCACAAACCGTGCTGACCCGCGGGCACTTCAGTGCGAGTCGTTGGCTCTGGCGGGCGCGGAATCATGGCGACGTCGACAACGGCCAGCTCGAAGATGATAGTAGCGATGCTGGTGACGACGACGACGCTGACGACGGCAAGGCCCATGACGGCGCCGATGCAGATGATGGTGTCGACGTGTCAGTGATGAAGATGCTGGAAGGGTTTCGACATGCGCGCGCGCGGCTGACGGGCGAGGGTGGTTCTCATGGTATTTTTTGGTAAGGGATCGTGCCCCCCAGCACGCGCGCAAGGGCGTCTGGTCAAAGCGTTGCAAAAAAAAAAAACCTAAGCTTGCCGCCAGAATTCGCAAGAGCACGCGCAAACTTTTTTAATAGCCACGTTGCAACACCATGTTTTCTGTGGTTGATGCGTTTTTCGGGACATCAGATTTTGAAATCGGTGCTACCATCCAGGTTATTGAAAAATTCAACCATGCGCGCGTGACGACGCGGGCGTGTGCACTACGTCAAACTTGTTTGCGCAAGATTGTTGGGTAATTGTGGTTCATGATAATCGAATGTTCGCACATAGCAACTTTGCAAAACGTGGTGTGTGTGTGTGGGGGAGGGGGGGGGTCGAACCCGGTCTGGCTGGGATGGCCCGCGTTTAAGTTTGAAGCGAACGATGGGGCGGGCTCATGTGTAAACTGTGCATGTCCAGGAAGGGATACTTCCTGGTGTGTGTGTGTGTGTGGTAGGTCCAACCTCTTCGTAAATATGAAAAGTATACGGGGTGCAAACTGCATGGTGTACGCGATGTAGTGCAAACTGTGTAGCGCAGTATACGCGGTGCAAGCTATGTGGTGCAAGCGTTGTGGTGCAATCTGCGTGGTGTCAGCTATGCGGTGTACGCTATGTGGTGCAACCGTGTGTAACGCAGCCTGCGTGGTGGAAGTTATATGGTGCAAATTGCGTGGCGCAAACTGTGTGGTGCAATCTATTCCATGCACACTAGGTAGAACACTCGACGTGGTGTAAGCAATGAAGTGCAAGCTATGTGGTGCAAGCTGCGTGGTGCAATCTACGTGGTGCAAGTAATTTCTGTTCGCAGTGAATTGCCCACTCCACTGCTCGCGCAAACGTCCCACCCACCCACCCGCAACTTGGTTCGCAAACCTCATGCGGCGGCGATTGCGATGAGTGCTTGGCGCTGGGTGGTGCATCTCTGCGGCCGCGCCAGCTCGTGAATGTCCGCGCGCGCAGCGGCCAAGTAGTTTGGCGCGACCGCCGCGGCCGCGGTGGTGCTGACCGCTCGGCACATCCAGGCGGGCACTAGAGTGCGAGTCGGCGACTTGGGCGGGTGCGGTATCATGGCAGCGTCGACACTTGTAGACACGATGAGGATGACGATGATCGTAGCGATGTTGGTGACGATGCTGACAGCGACGACGGCACGGCCAGTGACGGCGCCGATGCCGATCACGCTGACGACGATGACGGCGTCCTCGCGGCGGTGATGAAGGTTTCAGAAAGAATTCGAGATGCGCGCGCGGCAGACGCGCGAGAGTGGCTCGCATGGTATCATTTGACACGGACCGTGCCACCCCAGCACGCGCGCAAGGGCGTTTGAACGATTTCGACACGCGCGCGCGAGGCCCGTTTGGTAGCATTTTATGAAAATGCTGAACAACTTACGGTAAGAATTCGCAAGAGCGAGCGCGCACGCTTTCGTTGAACATTCGTGTTGCGAAACCATGTGTTCTTGTATGCTTTTTGGATATTCGATTTTGAATTCCTTCCGGAACCCACGGTTTGCGCGCGTGCACTTCGTCCCGTTTTTGGCAAAGGATTCTCGCGACGGCACGCGCGCAAAGGGCGTTCAAACGATTTCGACATGCGCGCGCGCGAAGCCCGTTTGGTAGCATTTTCTGAAAATCCCCAAACAATCAATAGCTTCCTTAAGTATTCGCAAGAACGCGCATTTTTTGTTAAAACGGTTGCGAAACCCTTTGCTTATAGATGTATATGTATGTATGTATGTATGCATATGTACATATATACACATATTGGACACTCGATGTAGGAATTCATCCGAAACCGGAAGGGTTTTGAAGGATTTCGACATGCGCGCGCGACGGCGCGCGCGTGTGCACTTCGTCTCGCTTTTGCAACATATTATTGAACACTTACGACTGTTGATAAACGAATATGCGCGCATAGTTTTTTGCAGAGACTGGCGGGGGGGGGCAATACCGGCCTGGCTGGGATACTATGAATCCACAGGTAGGATGGACAGTGGGTCAGAATCCAATGTGTTTTGCATCGGATCCCGGAGGGTCTTTAAGTCCGGGGGGGGGGGGGAGGTGGTAGAACCTATCTCCTTTTTAGACAAGAGAATCTATGCGGTGCAACGTATGTAGTGCAAGTTATGTGCTGTAAGCAAGGTGGTGCAAATTATGTGGTGCAGGCTATGTGGTGTACACTATGGGTTGAAAGCAATTTGGTGCTATCTGCGCAGTGCAAGCTTTGCGGTGCAAGCTGCGTGGTGCGTGCTCTGTGGTGTAAGTTAAGTAGTGCAGGCTGGGCGGAGCAAGCGTTCATCCTTAGAGCAAAAACTTACGCGCGTTCCTCCCATGTTGCTCTCTAGCACGGCGTTCACCCGAGAGCAGCGGCTACGGCGGGTTCCTCCCCTCGTGCTCTCAAGCCTGAACGGCACGCACTCTGGCGCGCCGCGCGTTCTGACAACTCCGAGGCGGCGGGCACCTGGGGGCAGCATGGAGGCCCCGAGTCTGCCCTGTGCTGCCGCCCAGGGCCCTCAAGCTACGTGGTGTGAGTTAGGTCGTGCACAGCTGCGTGGTGCGCGTGTGATGCACACTGTACGGTGCAAGCTGCGCGGCGCCCACGGAGTGCCCACGGGTGGCCACGGGGCGCCCATGGGCGGCAGCCCACGGGCGGACACCAACCGCCCACCAACCCCAACCCCGCCCTACCCATCCATGTCTTCGAGTACGAATAATAAGAAACCCTACCATCCTCATCAACACACTCATTACCATCATCTTCAGCGTCAGAATTTCCGTCACCCTCATCGTCATCATCCTCATCATCGTCATCATTACCAGCAGCACCGTCATCTATCATCACCGCCACCCTCATCATCGTCATCGTCGATGTCGTCGTGCTCCTCGAATGTCTGCGCGTGGGCACTGCCTCCTCCTCCTGCTCCTTCTCCTCATCATTACCACCACCACCATTCTCATCATCATCATCATCGTTATCGTCGTCGACGTCGCTGTCGTCATCGTCACCATCATCACCACCATCATCATCATCACCATCATCATCATCACCACCACCACCACCACCACCACCACCACCATCATCATCATCATCATCATCATCATCATCATCATCATCATCATCATCACCACCATCATCATCATCATCATCTTCACCATCGCCATGGTCATCATCATCATCATCATCATCATCATCATCATCATCATCATCAACATCATCATCATTCTCATTACCACCACCAACACCATCATCGCAAATGTCATCGTGTCCATCCTCATTTTCACTGCAGTTTCGTTACCGTCACCATCGTCGTCGTCGTCGCCGTTATCATATTCCCCCATCACCACTGTCATTGCCATCGGCATCATTGTCATCACCATTGTCATCGCCATCTTCGTTGGCGTCGCGGTCGTCACCATCGCCACAACCATCTGGCGACCTGCACGGAGGACTTGTCTTCGAGGTTGAGTTCCACGTGCCCGTGCGCTCGTTGAGATCATGGCCGCATGTGCATTGCCAGCAAGCTGCGGGTTGGAGGGTGGAATGCCTCACAAATGTTTCGCCACCCAGATTGCACCAAACAATTTGCACCAGATGTAATGCACGTGCAGAGCGAAGTAGCGAGCTCTTCGGGGTTTACGTTGGCAAACATCCGAGTGTAGGGATTGGTCAGTGTGGCCCCCGCGCGAACCCGATCAGCCTGGGCTGCGCGTGAGGGTTACCCATTACACATGCAGGCCGTGCATGCTGGCAGCACTTGCCGGCTCGCTTAGCTGCCCTGGCAAACTGCACCACGTTTGTGGTCAGTCGACGCTGGTACAAATTTATAGATCGCTCCGCACGTGCTTCACATGTGGTTCACACTGGTCTAGTATGTGGTTCGTCCTTGTGATGTTCCTTCATATTATTCATCGCATCGCAAGTCATCGCGACACCAGGGCCGATATGGTGATACGACAATGCGTCGATGCCACGACGCTGACCCGATACCACGTGTGCTACCATTTTCTCGACGCGTTTTCCTGATCCGCTCCGTTCCGTCTCTCATGTGCACCGTACTTTCACACCTGTTTCGCATGCGCTTCACGTTTGTGCATGACTATGGCGCACCGTTCGTCTCTGCTTCGTATGGGTGCGTGCTCGTAACCACGTGGATGCACGCGTGTGCACGTGCGCACTCATACGCACGCGTGCGCATGAGCATGCGAGTGCACAAATGGACGGGTACGGGGCCCGTGCGCATTCAGGTGACTGAACACGGCATGCGCGACCGCTCATAGCGGCAGGCGGAGGCTCGTTCACCCCACAAGCGGAGAGCCACGCACACGAGAGAGCAAGCAGAGAAGCAGATCAAGCGGACGGCCGGCAGCCTGGCGGCGCGGAGTGCCCACGCGCCTCCGACGTCGTGGGTGGCTGCGTGCCGGGCCAGTACAGCAGCCACTGCGTTGCTCCACGCCGCGAAACCATCGCCTCCGTGCCGCCCCACTGTTCCATAGGACGAGGAGGAGCGCGATGTTTTTGAATTGGTTTCGGCTCGAGCAAGGAACGCGCCCCTACTCCACTAGGCGGATTGACCCAAGCAGACTGGACAGAGTGCATCGGTCAGGCACATCTTGCAACGACTCTGCGCTGCGATAACGGATGGGTTACGTGTGCGCATGTGCACTGAATGGGCAAGTGAGAAGCGAGGAAGGAAGGAGACGAAAACGGAGGAAGATGGAGATCTTTCGATGGCAAGTCGGCCTCGCGTTCCGTCCCCGAGTCGCACCGGTCTGTAGATCCGGGGCGCCCTTCAGGCGCGCGGAGCGGCCTCCTGGCCACCGAACAGAACCCGCAAGCAACCGAGCGGCGGGGGCGACCCGGCCCGCCCGATTGCGGCAGCGCCGAGCCACCCGAGGAGGTCCCAGCTGCAAAACCGCCCGCCTCCCCGGGTGGACGCCGCCCAGCTCGAGGCGGCGAGAGCGGAGAAAGGGGGGCCGGGACTCCAACGGCCGAGGGAGAAGCTGAAGCTCCCGGGCGTTGGCAGCAGGCGCGCCAGGCTCACCGGCCGCCGCGGGGGAGGGCTGGACGGCCGAAGCCCACCTCCCGGATCCGTCCCCGAGCCACGCCCCGCCCCCCCCCCCAACGGGGCGCAGCAGGCGACGCGGCCACGCGAGAGGGGGGCGCCGCGCGGTGGGCTGGCCGCCATGCCCAGGCCACGCCCACAACACAGCGACGACCCACCACTCGAGCTCCCACAGAGCCAGCTGGCAACCCGAGCGACAGCAGAGCGTGCCCAAGCCACGGCGGGAGGCTGGCCCCGCAGCATGCCGCGAGAAGAGCTGCTGAGCGGGCCACCGCGCGGGGTCGCCCGAGGCGCCAAAGAGGAGGACCCCCGTGGGGGCGCTTGCGCACACGAGGTCGGCCAGGCGCTGACAGGAAGGACCACCGCGGGGGCGAGAGCCCGGCCCACTTTCGCCACCAGGGATCCGTGAAAAAGATTGAAGAGGAGGAGAGGAAAGGATGAGCCCTCTGGTTCGTCTTCCAGGAGGAAGTTCGACCTCGAGTGCTTTGGGCGTCTTTCGCTCTTCGTGGGCCTCCTGGAAGGTTCTCGCGACCACGGCCGGACGCAGCTCGGAGGACTGGCCAGGAGGAACCCCGGGAACAGTTCAGGAGATTTCTGTGAGCATGCCTGGGCGGGCTTCACCCCCCTCCCGCTGACGCTCCTCCTCCTCCCCCTGCTGCCCGTTTCCACTCCGCCTCTCCCCGCTCCCCACCCTGCCTCCTCCCCGCCTCCTCCCCGCCTCCTCCCCTCCCCGCCTCCTCCCCTGCCTCCTCCCCGCCTCCTCCCCTGCCCGCCTCGTCCCCCCGCCTCCTCCCCGCTCCCTGCCCTGCCTGCCCTCCCTCCGCCATCCTCGCCCCCCCCGTCCTTCCCCTGGCGGCCTGCGGGTATGACGCCCTGAGCTGCCTGTGGCGGCCTGCAGGGCAGGGCTCAAGCGCGAGCAAGCAGAAGCACGCCACGGCGGACAAACTCGCAAACAGAATCCGTGAAGCACCATAGGTAAGGATCGCAAGCCGCATGGAATGGTAGATTAAATGCATCATGCCAACCAGCACTGATTGCGCAATGCCGCTGAACACACACGCGGACTCTTCGAAGCAGCGAGAAATCAATGGCACGGCACAGGCTGGCCTTGACGGCGTTCCCAGATCAGCCCGCGAGCGTGGAGGCGCGCATGTGTTCTCCCGACGAGTGGAATACGACGTTGTCACTCCTGCACATGCGACAGCCGTGGAGGGATAATCTCCCCTCCTACTCCTCCTCCTTTTCATTCCCCCTCCTCCTCCTCCTCTTCCTCCTCCTCTTCTCTCTCCACTTCGACGTGCAATGCATCCCCTGTATATCCTTACGGTTCGGTCTGGCCTCCACTCTTGCTCCTGCTTTCTTGCCATTTCTAGCCTCACGCCAACTTGAAATTTGCGCTGCAACTGCGCATTCGTACGACAGACTTGGGTGGGCTCCACATCCGTACAGTGATGGCTCGAACCATATGCAAGCAAGTATACGATCTTGCGCACACTAAACAAATACCGCATGTTCGGGAGTACGTTTGTACTGTCCCGGGGGGCATCAAACAACAATCGCATCTGACATCGCATTCTACCGACGCTTTCGCTGCCTAGCGAGCATCATGTTCGAACGTTGCATGAAACACTCGTTCGGCTCAAGAACTAAGCCCGCATGACGTGCATCGGATCCATATCGCCTGTCGCCCAAACTTATCTCGAACTCTTCGCGGTGCATATAACGTTACATGTGTACGGTGTCCACCACCGCGCGTGCAAGCTCGCCGACTCATTTGCAGACCCCGCCGAGGCTTCATCTCGCATGTGGTGATCTGTGGGCTCGTTTCCAGACGCTCCTAAAGCATCAGATGGGGGCGAACAAGTACCTGCTGCGCTGCTTGGCTCAATAAGAATAGGTGCTGGTCATGCTAGCGAATCAAGACAACAACCATATGAACATGACATTTCGGGGGTCCGCGAGGATTTCTTGGATCGGCGTTGGATCTTCTTCCCTGGCGCTCGGAGCGCGCCAGGGGCGGCGTCTGAGGCGCCACCAAGGGAGTCCGGCGCAGATCCAACAAACCTGCGCAGGCCTGTGAAACTTTGCGCCGATGCCGTGCCCCTCCTCTTCGACAGCAGTACAGACACAATCCTGTTGTATTGCTCATGACTCCAACCATGATGACACCGCCTGTCCCTGAATTCGGCGGTGGACAAACCTCCCTGTAGTAAACCTCCCTTTAGTGAAAGCGGCGTAAGACCGAAACCGACGGACCTGGACCAGCAAAAATAACGGCTGCGACGCCCTCTCGCGAACCGAAAACGGCCAATTCGCTAATCGACGTGTCAGGGTAGGAGGTCTATCAACCTCCGATGAATGAAGGCCTGTGTGAAGCCAGCAGCGTTGGCCGATCATCGGGCGCATGGGACGTCCTGAGCAGTTCTCGGAGAGCGCCGTGGGCGCCGACGTGGAGGCCGAGTCCTCGAGGAGTGCAGGCCCCAAGGGCGGCGGAGACAGAGACAGAGAGAGCGGTACAAAGAGAGGAGGGACAGGCCAAGACCTGTAGCACGTACGAGATACAGTCGAACTGCTGCCACAAGGAACCCTAACTAAGGAACGAGGCCCCTTTTTTTTCACTAGGTGAACTTCGATTGCCCATGGGAAACCGGAGGAACACCTAGAACAAAAACAACACAATTAAGGAACACTGAGCCCCTCCCCAACGAGAGGAGTTCCTTATTCCGCGGCCCGACTGTAATGCAGGCTGGGCTGTGCATCTCCTTCGGGAACTTTTGACGATGCGAATGCTCTGAGCCGAACGCATCGCAGGCAGAAGTGCACTGCGGGACCCCTCGCTAGCGTCCCAACCGTCAGGATCAATGGTCGAAAAACGTATACCTGATCGGAATACCGCATGCATCACCCAAATCTTGGCTCCTGGGTAGACTCGTCTCGAGTAAGACAACGCCTTTTCAGTGCTCTTCCATGACATAGCATATATGATCGCGACGCCAATGCTCCTTGCACGTTATGCTCAACAACTTGCACTCACTGTGGAAAACGTCGTCTTTGATATGAGCGCGTTCAACTGTCAAAGCTGACCGGGCAACAACCGATGAGACATGTACTTCGTTGCCAAGTTTGGCGAACGGCCCACGAGATTTCCAAACCATGTCTGGGCTATAATGCAGGCCCGATTGTATTTGTCCGATCGCCGATCTGCGAATGAACTTTCCAACGACGCTTGGGCACGTGTGATTTAGATACAACTAGGGGAAAGCGAAATACCAATCAAACACGCCATGCTGCCCCATGCGCTTCGGTAAAGAATTGTTAGTTTTGGTTGAAAGCGAGTCCCAAGGAAACCTATTGAACACCGCAACGTCTTGGCTTATCCGAAGGAAAAGATCATAGGGACCAATCTTTGCAGTTTGCTTGAAGGCATGGTCCATCCAGAGGACTTGCATCAAGTTCTTGTTGGCCGAATCACAGGGGGAGGCCGATTGTACCAGACATCCTGCGAGCATGAAGCAAATCGTCACATGCAGAGCCAACATGGATCGAGACATGCGTTTGAACAATTCTTCATCTTGTCCAATGCGAATGTCAAGACCTGTTCTTCCGACTCGCTGCAATTACTATTGAAGTAGGCTGCACTGTTTACGTGCCTACCTTCGTGAGCATAAATATGAATCTGTGCCAATGTACTGACATGGGCACTTCCTGGATATGTGTCTAACATATTAACAAATTCGCTCTGATTCTGGAATGGACACCTGGGAATATCACTGCACGATGTTGTCAAACAGCAACTACTGCAAGCTTTTGCAAGGTGCTACTCTCCCGCTGACGATAGATCCCCACCATCCTTTTCGAATTCACCCATCAATTAAAACAACAATCAGACGCACCATCATCCTCATTTTCATCGGCATCAGCGGAGTAGTATGATGAATTACCTGAGCCATGTATGGTATCAGCGCTTTGTGGTTGCATCGCGTCGGCTTGGTTCATGGGTAGACAAGTCGCTCTGCATCATCATTTCATCCACGTGTGTATCAGCGCTACAGGTAGCATCTGGATCAGCGTAACGCAAGTCACATAGATGTGCAAGGAGTGTGGTACTGCGGTGTGAGAGCTGGCTTGCTCCAACATGGCTCCAACCGCACTGCGGGTACAAGATAATATTGGGGATGAGATGGGCGATGCGGTGAAACAGATGGTTGCACGTGCCAATGTCGCGCTCGGGGGTCCACCCGAACTTGATCGAACATATGCAAGCAGTGAATCGACAAGATCGATGCTGTAAATATCTATCATGTGACTGCAACAGGGCTTCATGAGACAGAGAGAGGGAGAGCTCTATACGATATCATCTTCGAAGCAAGTAATGCATGGAGGCAGCTTTTTTGGCTTCTCGGAGAGCGTCCTGGAGGCTCTCCTGGGGCCCTCTGGGGCTGTCTTGAACGTCTCTCGAGGCGTCTGGAGGCTCTTTAGGGCCGTCTGAAACTCCTGGAGGCCGTCTTGGGGGTGACGTGACTGGGGTTAATCTTGGACCGCCTGGGCGACGGGCTGGTGGCCCTCCGAGGCGATTCAGGGGCCCCCGAGGAGAGAACGAAGCCCCCCATTCTCCCATCCGACGTTGTGGTCGCGGCCCCCGGGCCGCTGGGCCCAGTCCCCTTCTACGCGCACATGTCTGGTCGGCGGGGCGAGAGCGAACCTCTTCCGCTAAAAGAACCCCCCCCCGTGCGCGCACGCGCCACGTCAGAACATACACGTGGAATGACCTGCTGACAGTTTTGCACGTCAGGCAAGCCAGTGGCAGCCACGCGAACCGAGCAGAGACAAGAACCGCCAAGGCGCCCCAGGAAGATCCGAAGATTGGCTGCGACGCGGCTGCCGCGTCGGCGGCGGCAGCGGGAACGGCGGCGGCGGCAACGGCGAGGGCTGCGGGAGCGCAGCGCAGCCCCAGAACGGCTGCAGCGGGCCGCGGTTTCCCACCACAGCGGGGGGGGCCTCGGGGCCCCCGAAGAGTGCCCGAGAGACCTGGACCTGCCCAACACTGGCCCGAGGCGGCGCGGTGTGGAAGCTCCCGTTGTGTGAGGCCCTGCAAGGGTCGAACAGGCCAGACCGTTCAGCAACTTCCGAGCGGTCTCTTGGGGGCCCTGTGGAGTCTCTTTGGGGCTCCGTGGGTGCTTCTTGGGAGCCTTCGGGCGCATCTTGGGAGCTTTGGGGGTGCCTTGTGGGGCCTCTTGGGGTCTCCTGGGGCCTGCTGGACACCATTGGCAACCTCGTGGGGGCCTTCTGCGGTCTCTTTGGGGTCCTCGCGGGGACTTTTTTGGGGCCTCTTGGGGGCGTCTTGGAGGCCTTTTGTAACATTTTGGGGGCCTCTTGGGACGGCCTGGCCTGTTGGGCTTTTTGTGGGAGCATCTTGGGGCCTCTTGGGAGCCTCCTGGGGGGGCGATCTTGAAGCCTCAGCGCCCCATCGGAGGCGACAAAACGAGAAGGTAAACATCCGCCGAGCCTGTCGGCACGTGTGAGAGGCTTTAGAGTCGTCGTCGTCGTCGTCGTCGTCGTCGTCGTCGAGCAACGTCGTAATCGAGTCGAAGGGCAGCCCCTCCTCGTTGATCCCTCCCCCGCGGGGGGGGGGTTCCCGGGGGGGGGAGGGGGGGGGACCTGGGGGTTGTGACCCCTCCCCCGGCGCCCCCGGGGGGGAGCACCCGTCGTCGTCGTTGTCGTCGTCGTCGTCGTCGTCGTCGTCGTCGTCGTCGTCGTCGTTGTCGTCTCCGTCGCCGTCGCCGTCGCCGTCGCCGTCGCCGTCACCGTCGCCGTCGCCGTCGCCGTCGCCGACGCCGTTGCCGTCGCCGTCGCCGTCGCCGCCGCAGTCACCGCCGCCGTCGCCGTCGCCGTCGCCGTCGCCGTCGCCGTCGCCGTCGCCGACGCCGACGCCGGCGTCGGCGTCGGCGTCGCCCTTGCTGTCGCTGTCGCCGTCGTCGTGGTCGTCGTCGTCGTCGTCGTCGTCGTCGTCGTCGTCGTCGACGTCGACGTCGTCGTCGTCGTCGTCGTCGTCGTCGTCGTCGTCGTTTCCCTTCAGGGTCGGCGGCACGGCCCGTAGGGCCTTCGCATCATTTTCCTACAAGTTTTTGTAAGTTTTTGGCACCTTGGAGGCGTCCTGGAGGGTCTCCAGGGGCCGTCGAGGGCTGTCTTGGAGGTCTCTTGAGGTGTCTGGCAGCTCTCTTCAGCCGTCTGAGACCGCTGGAGGCCGTCTTGGGGGCGACTCGGAGCACTCTTGCGCCGCCTTGACGGCAGTCTGAACGCTCTAGGGGCTGATCTGGGCCCCCAAGAACGCGCCATGCGCCCGGGCCTCCCATTTGTGGTCGGGATCCCAGCCCCGGGGCCCATGGCAGGGCATGCCCCCTGGTACATGTACATTGGTCTGTGTATACAGACATGTGTGTGCGTGTGTGTGTGTGTGCATACAGACATGTTTGTGTATGTATGTATATATATACAGACATAGCGAGAGAGAGAGAGAGAGAGAGAGAGAGAGAAAGAGAGAGAGAAAGAGAGGGTGGTACAAAGTGAAAGATAGGGAGAAAGAGAGAGAGAGAGAGAGAGAACGACAAAACATATTGCTTGCTGTGGGCGGCGCGTGCATAACATGCGAGGGGGGTGAAGGGTGGAGCAAGAGACAGATGATGATGATGTTGCTGATGCTGCTGCTGCTGATGATGATGTCTATGATGATGCTGATGCTGATGCTGATGCTGCTGCTGTTGGTGATGGTGATGATGATGTGATGATGATGCAAGTGGTGGTGATGATGTAGATAATAAAGAATTGCGACTCCAAACGTGTATGATGATGATGATGATGATGATGATGATGATGATGATATTGATGAGTATGAGCCATGCGTATGATGTGAAGCACTCAAGCATTTCCGACCACTCCTGATTCAGGCGGTCGGAACTCAAGACTCCTTGCAGCATGGGAGATTCCTTGGGCCGGAGGTGCGGATCCCTCGAAACGCCTACGGATTTCTGGGGTCCGGCACGGGTCGGTCGGAGGCTCGGCGTTGTCGGGACCTCCGGCGCGCGAGCGGTGTTTGCTTGCGTTTGTGCTGTTTGGTGTGGGCTGGGGCTGTGAGGCACACCGTGACACCCAAGGTCGTCCTCCTCGATAGGAACGGGTTGCGAGCGTCGAAAGAAACATTTCGAGCGAGCGTCGAAAGGAATATTTCGATAGAACAAGAAGACGGGTCGCAGCCAAGGAGGGCCAACAATGGGCGCTCTTCAGAGCGAAGGTTCATCAACCGCTCGTCTCGACAAAGGCTGGTTACAAGATGTGGTTCAGACCTTTCTTGTCCTTCTCCGCGTGGTAGCATTTTTCTGCGGGGGTGACATGTTTGATAAATAATAAAGGGGGCCTGTCGCACATAACACCCTGATGACTGATGACCCTGTCGCAGAACAATGCAGTGTCGCCAAACACTGCAAAATAGAACCCAAACACATGCGTCTCGGAATCTTGGGGTGTGCTCGCCAATGCCGTAAAATCTTCTTTCCCCAACAAATGAGCAATGAACGCTTCTCAACGGACCGGTCTACGATCTCTCGCGTGTGCATTAATACTGCAGCTATGTATGCATGCATGTATGCATATATACATAGATCTGTGCAAATATGTAAATGTGTATCATGGCTCGGATGTCCGCTTCGGGTGGGCACAGGCTGCACACTGACAACCATGGCATTCTCTTTTCGCCTGGTGCGTAATATGTGTCCGCATGGCTCCCTGAACCATGTAATCCTTATGCATCCCCATCCCCGAAGAGCGCACGATCGTGTTCGTGTCCCGACAGCCTCGTTCACACAATCGTGAGCTTATTGTGCAGGCTTGGCAGAACGGGGATGAACACAAGACGTACGATAATACCCATGCGGCGGGGAACATGGCGCAGCAAATAGCAGTCGCGGCCTCGTCAATTCTTGAGCTGGACATCCTCCAACCAGCGCCAATTCCAGCACGCCGTTCCTCGTTAGCACCACAGTGTGGTCATTTGCTGCTGCAAGAGGCAAATGACGAAGGAGGGGGAAGGGGTTGACAGATGCAGGATGGTGTCAGGCATCTCTCTCTATATATACACTTATGTAGATCTATACACGTATGATGCAAACGCAGATAGGTACGTACGCATGTAAATCTGTACGTGCATGTGTATGTGTGCATGTACGTACATACGTACGTATGCATGTATGTTTGTGTATGCATGTATGTATATTCATATGTGTATGTATGTATGCGTGTGCATGTATGTGTGTATGTATGCAAACACGCATGAGAATTGGCCTGCTTATGTGTATAAGTATGCATGTATGTAAGTATGCATATCTATATGTATACACATACGTACTTATGTCTGCATGCACGTATTCATGTATGCATGCACTTATGTATGTGCGTACGCACGTACGCACGTATGCATGAATTTATGTACGTACACATGTATGTATGTGTGTATGCATGTTCACATGTACGCATAGGAATGTGTAGGTATGCATGCATGCATGTATACATGTATGCGTGTAAGGGTATGTATGTGTGTACGTGCATAAGTATGCATCTATGCACGTATGCATGCATGCATGAATTCATGTATGTATGCATACATGCACGTGTTTATATGTTTGCATGTCGGCATTTATGTATGCATTCATGAATGTATGTATGCTCACATGTACGCATGCATGTCTGTATGCATGCATTTATGTTTGCATGACAGTGTATATGTGTGCATGCAAGTACGCACGTATGTATGCCTGCATGCCTGCATGTCTGTACGTGCGTATGTGTGTACGCATGTTTACATGCATGTATGCACATATGTATGTCTGTATGTATGTACATACGCATGTATGAATGTATGTGTATAAATGTATGTATGCATGCATGTATGCATGTACGTACGTACGTATGTAGGTCTGTCTGTCTGTCTGTATGTATGTATGTATGCATGCATGTATGCATGTACGTACGTACGTATGTAGGTCGGTCTGTCTGTATGTATGTATGCATGCATGCATGCATGCATGTATGTATGTATGTATGTATGTGTGTATGCATGCATGCATGCAGGCAGGCATGAATGCATGCATGTATGTATGTACACAAGTGTCGACATATGTCTATAAGTCCACTCGACGAAACTGGCAACATATCTTAGCGGGTTGGCAAGGCCTTCGGGGTCTCGGGCCGCCGGAGAGCCCCAAAACGGCGGCTCTGCCTAAGAGAGTTCCGAGTTGGTCCAAAATGGCCCCAAGACAGCCCAAGTCGCACCAATAAGACCTTTAGACGGCCGAAGACGTACTCAAGAGGGTCCGCGGATGGCCCAGGACTAACGAAGATATCCCCACGATTGTCCCAAGGCATCCATGCCGCCCCCGGAGAGCTTTGCGAGTGCCTCCGCAGGCCTCACGACGCCAAACACAACATGTTTTCATGTGTTTCCTAAAAAGATTTCGAAGTTTTCGCACTTTCGCGCTTCAGTGCCCTCAGTACAGCCCAAGAGGCCCCCACGATCGCACCGAGACGGTCTCAGAAGCCCCCGAGAGGCCCCCAAGACGGCCCAGTAGGATCCTGAGAGCCCCCCCGAGAGACCCCAAAACGTCCCAAGAGAAGCCCCAGACACGCCAACAGGACCCCAAGACAACCCAGCAAACCCCCAGCCGGGCCCCAGGATAGTCCAAGAATGCCATGAGTCTGCCCAAGAGGGCCCCAGACGGCTCTCCGAGCTCTCCGGCCTTATCGCCTTGCTGCCTGCGCCCGGGTACGCGGTATGGGCCAGCTCGGCCGCAGCCCACTTCTCTTTTTATCGCGCTCCTCGAGCTTCGACGTGGGGTAGCTTGCCACATCCTTTTTCTGCGCCATCCTGCCCTCTGTTGGTTCGTATCTGTACTGCCTACCGCCTTAGGCGGTGGCCTTTTGGTCGCCTGGCCTGTTGTCTCTCCGGGATGTCTCGGGGGCGTGGCCTGGCGGTGCCTTGCACCGTTCGTGGTGGCCAAGGCACTGGCGTTCTTGCGCTCCCAGGGGTGTGCGTGGCAATTTCCACGGACACCGCTCGTGGTCGGCGCCTTTTTCCGTTGACAGCTTGTCCAGCGGTGGCCTTGCCGCCTTGCTGCTTGCGCCGTGGATTGGGTGCTGGCTGGCATGGCCGCGGCCACTTGAAGCTTTTGCGTCTGCATTGCATCTGGGGTGTGCATCGCACCTGGGGCTGCAGGTCGCAGCTCGCTGGCTCCAGTAGTATTCCAGCTCGATCGCCGGCGGTCCATTGGCGTAGCCCGGTGGCGGGGTCGCTTTCTTACATTTTCTCCACCTGGTTGCCTCTGGTCGGAGTGGTGCGACCTTGAGGTGGCCCGTACAGGTACTACATCGCCCATGTGGTTGTTTTGTTCGTCATTCCGGCACCCACCCATGGTTGCCGCAGCGTTGGCTGCGGTGGGGTTGCCCTTCAAAGGTGGCGTCCGTATTGCACGTAGGCCAAGCACGCGCCTGTCCACCACGCATGGATTTGCCTGCGCTGTCCACCACCCATGTGTGTCGTCGCGTGAAGCGGTTGCTGTCGCGGTCGCCCGCGTTCAGCTTTGCTTTTTGTCCTAGCTTTGTTTGCCTCGGACGTGCGCGGTTCTTCGCGCTACTTGCACCTGCGCTGCGTTCTGTCGTGTCAGCTGCTTGCCTGGCGGCGTCGCTTGTCGCTCTGGTGTGCGGTTCGCGTCGCCGCCCCGCTGGCTGGTCTGGCAGCCCTACAGTCCTTTTCGTTTTACTGGCTCATTAGCACCAGACTGCTGCCCGCGCTTCAACTCCTGGCGTCGAGCTACGCTCCGCAGGATGCTTGGCCACTGCACTTTGGCTTTATAGTGCCCCATCCTTTTTCACCACCACCATCTGCATGGCCGTGGCTGGTTTCTGTCATCACGGCGCGTTCGACTCAATTTGTTCGCAATTGGCACTTCCATCTGCCGACCGTGCCCGAGTTTCCTCTGCGCCGCCGGCTTAAGAATGTGTGTTGGTGGAGGTCCGTAGGAGGAGGAGGAGGAGGAGGAGGAGATGGAGGAGGGAGGAGGAGGAGCAGGAGGAAGAGCAGGAGGAGGACGAGGAGGAAGCGGAGGGATGAGGAAAAGGAGGAGGAGGAGGAGCAGGAGGAGGAGGAGGAGGAGGAGGAGGAGGAGGAGGAGGGGGAGGAGGAGGACGAGGAGGAGGAGGAAGGAGGCCCGTGCTCCTCAACGCACTTCCCGGGCCCCCAGAGCCTCCGAATCCACCCTCCGACGCTTCCCAGCTGCTCACGATACCACTCAAGATTCCCCAGCAGAGCTCCAGCACGCCCAGGAGGCCTCATAGAAAAACTCGAGAGGCCCTGCGAGACCCCCCAAAGCCCAAAGAGGTCCCAGAAGAGAGCCCAATCGTCCAAAATCATGAGCAGCACGCTTGGTTTGACAATGTCCGGTGCAAGCTCGCCTTGTCGCTTCTGGACGTCTCCGAGGAGGTCCAGGATTCCTCCGAGAGGTGCCCGGACAGCCCAGGATGCGCGAAATGTGCCCTCAGTGTGGCTTCAGCTCGCCTTCGAGGCTCTTGGCTGGCCTCCAAGACTGTCCCCACATGACTCCACCACGGCCCAAGATCGCCCCACGACGGCCCCAAGATTACCCCACGCGGCCCGAAGACCCTTCACATCGACCCAAAGACACCCCAAGGACGCCAAGATAGCCCCAACTATATTTCAAAAACCTCCAAGAGAGCTCGAAGAGAGCCCCAGAAAAAATAACCCTGCACGGCCCCACGCCATGCCCCCCACTGAAATGGGAGTACTGTGTGCAAAACCCCCCCTTGGGGCCAGACCCGCACTCGCTTCGAAATGCTCCTGCTTAATCTTTGCCGTGCCGTGCTCTTCCTCCTCCTAACCCGTTCATGTGGGGGGGCGGCGAATTGGCTTCAGCCTCTCACTTTAGTGGGCGAGCGAGCGATAGAGAGAGAGAGAGAGAGAAAGAAATCGTGAGAGAGAGGGAGAGAGAGAGAGCGATGTGTATAGATATATGCGACGCTTGAAACGGATCATAAAGCTGGAGACGCACACATACACGGCTAGATCCGAATGCTGAGACGGTGCGCTGGATACGCAATCAGATGGTCGGCGTGCCTGGCCATACGAGGCGATCGCTGGAAACACACGCGGTCACAACACGTGTACCCAAACTCCTTGTACTTACACAGGGGGAATCGGAATGAGGGAAGGATAGCGCAGTATAAACATCATTCGCCGCCTTATTCGCCAGTGCTCATGCAACTGAACAGGGGTCGGCGAGATGCCAAGAAACTGCGCGCGTGAAGCCCGCAACGCGTGAACTGGATACGCGACTGCTGTTTTCTGCTTCTGGCCACCTCTGCGTCCGAGCGGAAGCGCGGAGAAAGCCCACCGTCCACACTTTCGACCTGGCCATCTGCTGCCGCTGCTGAACGTTTGCGCTCCCCGCTCCCGCCTCCACTTCCCAAGGGCGCCCAGCTTCGCGCTTCGCGCTGCGCGAAGCGCGAAGTGCGAATAACTTCGCGCTCTCGCGCCGCCTCCCAGAGGAGAAGAGGAGGAAGAGGAGGAATCGGAGCAGAACCGCGAAGCGCGAGTAACTTCGCGCCCTCGAGGGCGCCCTTGTCTCCCGCTCCTCGAGCGCAGTCGAGGCGAACAAGTCTTCATCCACCTACCTCCCCGAGCAGACGGGCGGGCGGCCTGGTGGCGGGCCAATCGGATGTAAGCCTCACCTTGTGTTGCTCCCCTCGTGCTCCAGGGCCCGATCCCAGAAAAATCATTCCGAGCTCACAGAAAAGTATCGAAACAGTGTCGATCGAGCATCGCCCTCCAGGGCCCGACGCACGACAACTCTCAAGTTTCGTTATTTCTTGGTGCTCGAAATTCGTTCTGGTGGTCAAGGCTGAGGTGGGTTGGAGCATCATAGGCCTCACCTGACCACCCTCTCCCGCTCCTCCTTTTC